TCTGTCTTCTCCGTGCTGCCCGATCGCCTGTCCTCTACTGGAAGCTTTCTCTACTCTGGAGTTGAAATCGCCCACCATGACAACTTCTCCCTGCCTACTGAACCCCTGGACATCTTCCCCAATTTGTCCAAAGTTCTCCTGCGCCGTGCTTGCGACCCTCTTCGACGACGGTGGGACGTATACGTTCCCTAGAAACAAATCTTTCTCACCCCGCTCCCCAGGCATCATAAGCCATAGGCTTTCCTCGAACTCCGTTTTCACCACTACTTCCACCACGTCAAACAAAGGTTTCTAGACCAGGAATCCGACTCCCCCCTCCCTTTTCTTCGGGTATACGGAATACTCGGCCTTCCCAATCCGAGTGTCCGGCGGGGGTTGTGGTTCCTTTCAGTTCTTTTGCCGGCTCACCGACGCTAAATAGTGGCTGGTAGTGTAGAACCCTTCAGGAAATTGCTGAGAAGCGTCGANCCTCCGGGTCTAAGCCTTTGCTTGCCTTCCCTACCCACCGGTATTTCCCTAGTTTGCTTACCACGTCCCCATCCTTCAATTCCCACGTCTCTTGGATCCCCACTACATGTAGATCGCTATGTTCTACTTGGTCCACTATTTCCAACCGCTTGCGCTCACTCCTTGCGAACCCGCACACGTTCCACGACCCGACCGTAGGGGGGGGGGGCTAACTCTTATGTTTGGCATGCCTTTGCAGTTAGACCATTGACCACGCGTCCTCGAGAGGACGAAGCGTTGTTCCAACAGGACCGATCACCGATGGCCAATCGTATCTTCCTACTTTGCCACAAGTGTCTCACAAATGTCTTGCCTAGTCTTATCTATCCTATCGATATCCCTTTGTAGCGCAGCGAGGGGGCTGTTTATCGGTTTAGTGCCGGTCGTAAAGTGCTGGTGCCCGGTATAGTGCCGGCTAGGCACAGTCTGAATCACCGAGTCACGTACAAAGAGTGCCGGTATTGTGCTGGTCAGTTCCCTCGGCACATATCGGCACTAAACGGCCCCCCCCCCCACTGCAGCCTACGATCTGTTGGAAGTCGTAGAGGCAGTCCGGAAGGGAGTAAAAGTAGGGGACACGGAAACGTCGGTTTCAGGAATGCTGTTTGCGGATGATTTTG